TACTTTTTGTGACTTCAGCATTCGCGTATAAGCATCAATGCATTATATTGATGGAACAACGCATTCATTGTATGCGTGTGTGTATATATGCATATATGTATGTATGTATGTATGTATGTATGTATGTTAAAACCAAATCAGCGATGCGATGTATGTATGTATGTATGTATGTATGTATGTATGTATGTATGTATGTGTGTGTGTGTATGTATGTATGTATGTGTGTATGTATGTTTGTATGTATGTATGTATGTATGTATGTATGTATGTATGTATGTATGTATGTATGTATGTATGTATGTGTGTGTGTGTGTAAGTGTGTGTGTGTGTGTGAGTGTGTGTATGTATGTATGTATGTATTATGAGTGTATGTAGAAATTTACGTATTACTGTATGCGCTGTATATGTTTGTATGTACGTGTTTAAGTGCATGTGTGCGTGTGCGTGGTGTGTGTAGCAACGCTTGTTGAGGTGCCTCTGAATAATGTAGGTATTATTCTTGAATGTCTCAGGCTGGAGTGAGTGCGTACGGTTTCATTGTCGCCCTGCTAAAATTCTTAACTTTTGTGATTGTCTGAATTATTTATTTTTTTTTTAATAAATTTATTATAATTAGGTTATTTATAATTTTAAAAATTATTAATTATTATTAAATTATTTATAATGTATGATGAATGAGCGTTTGTGTATATGATATGTAGAGATATTTAAGATATGTTACGTCAAAAATTGTAGATTTAAAAAATTTTTTGATATTAAAAATGTATTAAACGAAGAAATTCTCATAGAATAACTAATCGTGAATGTATATCAAACAGAAACAACGTTAGTAAATTTAAAATAATGATCGTGTTGTTAATATAATGAATTAATTGGCAATGTAACAGTATACAAAACATACATACAATCATCAACATATTGGGATCAAAATTGAACATAAAATCACGAACAATCTGTGAACATATGACAAAACAAACAAGAAAAACATGAACATACAATGAACATACATAACACAAACAAACGTGTGAACATATAACAAACCAAACACGGAAACGTGAACATGTAGTGAACACACACAACACAAACAAACTTGCGAACATGAGCATATTCAAAAGCATTTCGGGATTTTTCACATCCGCAGTGGGAGCAGAACTCCCACCCTCCTTAACCTCCAACAAGACCCTCACATCTGGGGGCGGCAGTCCCTTGTTTTTCTCAAACAGAGAAAAAACTGACAGTAAGGACAGTATTTTGGTAGCCACAACAACAACAACAACGTCACAACTGACGGCAACGCCATCATCAGCGTCGTCAACTATTTCCAACCAAATAACAAAATTTAAAGATACGATACAAGATGTATATAACAACACTCAGCAACAACAACAGTTTATGCAACAACCATCTAGGCAACAAAGTCAACAGTGTGACATTAATCAGCAACTACAACAACGACTACCCGCTCAGCAAAATTATCAGCAACAACAACAAATACAGCAGCAACAACAACAAAAACCACAACAAAAATTGCAATCTCAGTATCAGCAACAACAGCCTGATCAAGATAGTAATGGCAAAATTAAAGCGGATTATGCGGATTATAAAGGTTTATTATTGATGTTATCGGCGCTATTGCTGATGCTGTTGTTGTTTTTGTTGCTGATGTAGTTGTGGTTGTTGCTGCTGGTGATGTTGTTGCTGACGTAGTTGCTGCTATTGTTGTTGCTGGTGATGCTGTCGCTGATGTTGTTGTTGTTGATGCTGGCATAGCTGCTGCTGATGTTATTTTGCTGCGAATTTGTTGTTGTTAATCTTCTTGTAATTTGGTTGTAATTGAACGGGCGTCGGATCTTTCGCAGAATGATGAATGGCGTTTTATAGTAGTCTCTCTTTAAAAACGAAACAGTGTCGATATTTAAATAGAGAAAAATAAACAAACTATCATCATCATCATCACCACCATCACCACCACCATCATCATCATCATCATTATCGCCACCATCATCAACATCAACAACAACACCATCATCACCACCATCACCACCATCACCATCATCATCATCATCATCATCATCATCATCATCATCATCATCAAAAACAACAACACAAACGAAATAAGAAATCCAGAGTCAAACGAAGGCAGAGGAAGCCGCATGATCAACAATAAATTGCGACAATCTGCATGGCATCTTAGGAGGGGCTAGCGTAGAATGTACGCACATACACAGCACATATCCAACAGTACATAGGTTTTAATGTTATAAAATATGTATGCGTTTACATGAAAAAAACAACATCAACAATGACATTAAAAACAACAACATTACTTTAACAACAGTATCAGCAACACAAAACCAATAACAACTACATTAAAAACATCAACTAACAACTAGAACAACGACAACATCTATAAAAACCTCAACAAAGACATTAACTCCAATAGCAACAACATCAACTACGACATTACCAGACATATCACATCAACAACAACAACAACAGCACTCCAAATCTTTATATAAATTATTTTATCAACAAATTATCTTGAAGTTTTTTGGAAAATGTAATCTAAACGACAGAAGGCGCAACAAATCTCGAGCCATTCTTATCATTCAGACACACAATGTGATGCAGACAGATCCATTTCTTCGATGTTAAAGTAGACGAGACTCTGACGATGGTGCTGGTGAGAAACTGACGATGGTGAAATGATGATGGTGATTATGGTGAAATGATGATGGTGAAGATGGTGGAACGATGCTCATGCTAACGTAAATGAGATTACGAAGTTGTAAAAAATAATACGTTAAAACGCCTTGTCATTTTATATTGAATGATATCCTATTTAATTTTTGTTACACACGCAATATCTCAACACACACACACACACATCCGCACACACACACACACGTACATACACACACACACACGCATGCACACACACACACATCACAAAAACTTACAACAATACATTAATCGTAATAAATCAAAATCTGCCGTCACCGAAATGAACATTAACAACAATTTAAACACATCAACATCATCACAAACAACAGCAACATCATCATTAGTAACAATGGCCACATCATCATAAACAACAAGAACAACAACATCATCATAAACAACATTGACAACATCATCATGAACAACAACAACAACAACAACATCATCATAAACAATGATAACATCAACACGACGATGATGGTAATGATAACAATAGCAATAGAGATGATGATGATGATGATGATGATAACGGTGAAGATAGCGTAGTGATGACGATTCAAATGGTAATGACATTTCTCCTATACGGTACTGGTTAGCCATAAATAAAATCATTCCTGACAAACTGCGTGATGATAATGATTATTTTATTATTATTATTATAATAACCATTATAACTGTATAACCATTTTTAAATAAGCTACCTCGAGCACTTATCCTAGATAACGAGCATTGTGGTTTTATTATAATGTACAATGAAAATCTATTTTTATTTCACTTTACCTATTGATTTATTGATAATAAAAGAGTTTTAATTATTAATTAATTATTAATTAATTATTAATTGTCGGCTGTGTGCGGTTGAATTTGGTAAGGCATTTTTAAGTTAGTTTATATATTCCATTTATTGTTTTATCGTCACAAAATGATAACAACAAATGATGAGATGATTATAAAGATGGCGTATTAATGACAATGAGAGTAGGAAATTTAATTTTTAATAATCATTTTGAGGGTTGGAACAATGTTTAAAAGAAACGAAAAGGCTTTTGATACAAGAGCCCTAGGTCTTCACATTATATCTGTAAGGCAAGATCTAAAAATAAAATAGTGTTTTTTTGTGTTTGTGTTTGTTTCATTCATTCATTCAGTCAGTCGTTCGTTCGTTTGTTCATTTATTCCTTTATGAATTCATTCATTCATTCGTTCGTTCGTTTGTTCATTCATTTATTCAATCATAAACAACTAAACAGACGACGAAATAATTAAATTTCTTACTCTTGATACAGTTGAAAAATCCCACAACTGAAAACAAACTATTTCATAATTCAATCTTTTTGACATGTTCTACTTTTTGGTTGAAATAAAAAAGTATTTATTTGAGGGCAATTATTAAAAATAATTACGCCATGAAACGCAACTAGCTATGACGAATCTATTGGCCATAATGAAATTCTTAAGGAGAATCATTTTTACGTGTAATTTCTATTTTTAACAATAACAATTCTACAGCATCTGCAACAACAACAAAAACAGTTGATTCAACGACCAAAACACTTTCATCGAAACCAACATCGTCATCGTCATCATCAGCATCAGCAACAGCAGCAGCAGCAGCAACAACAACAGCATTGAAACCAGCAACACTATCATCTTCATCGTCATCATCGACATCATCATCAAAACCGACGACGACAACGTCGTCGTCGTCGTCACTCTCGAAGCCTGCGTCATCATCGTCGTCGTCCTCCCCATCGCTCGATCTCAGTCATCTTGAAGATAGTGAGAAGTCGAAGATTGAGTTTGTCATGGCGAGAGCTCACAAGGAATTGAACTGCGACGACAATGATGACGACGACGATGACGACGCTAGTGGTCGTGGTAATGATCCGCGGTTGGCAGTTGTTTATATATGTTATACGTTTCTATATTAAATGTATATTGTACACATGTGTATGCTTAATGTTCTCATACAAATTGTTACTAATGATTATTATTGTTATATTAACTACATTTGGTTAAGGAGTTTAAGTCGAATGCCCGAGTTTTGTCAAATACGAATTCGAATTCAAAATGAGTGCAGTTTTGTTCGTTTATTCATTAATTCGTTTATCCATTTATTCCTTTATTATTTTTTTTATTCATTCGTTCATTTGTGCATTCATTCATTCGTTGATATGTTGGTATAAAAAAGCAAATTAATTATGTTTCGATAACTGACACACGCAAAACAATTGTACTCAAGTACAACCGGACCTCATCATTCAGTTTGGTGAAACAGGTACAAACAATTGCACACATATACAGACCATACACGTACACACACACACACACAAATTAACACACACGCATTGAGACACACACACATTGACACAAACACACGCACACAAACATACACACCTATAAATATATACAAAAAATAAACTCAAACACATATTTTGATGTATACGCACACACACAAACACACAATCGCACATACTTACCGATTATAACAAGTACCAACATCATTATTTAAATCTTTGGCTAATTAGAGTAATAAAATATTTCCTCCACTCGAAAAGGAAAGACATACCAAATTGTTTCAGACACTCGAGCTAATGCAAAAAAATATATAAAGGATGATAAAAAATGATGTCGTTTTTTCAGCGAATGTTTCTTCATCTTATCTCGTGTCTCTATCGCAATAAACTTTCGATAAATTTTGCATGCTTCCTTAACACAAACAATTATAAATCTTCTGCCAAGAGCCAGCCAGGCACTGCTTTGTGAGAAACGTTAACTGCACGCCACGCAAGAGTTGATGGGTTCGTTCGTTCTTATGTTGTTTTATGGAAGATTCAAACAAATTCGTTAACTCCATTGCGTAACGAAATTTATTTATTCGTGTTTTTAATTTTTTTTGGCTTTCGGAGCAATTAAATTTTTAAAAATTGGCATGAAAGAGGAATAAGAAATTGTAAAAAACGGGAAATGTTTTTGGGAGAAGATGAAAAAAGAGACGAATCTTTATAAATTTTTAATTGGTTCCAAGGCAAATAATTGGAATTATTTTTTGTTCATAAGGTTTAGCCTCAGACTGATACAAACTTAAAATTTTAAACACAACGCTTAAAATTTAAAAAAAAAAATCAAAACAAAAACATTGCAAATCTCAGGAGAGTGATCGTTTAAAGCATCGCATCGCGTGTTAAATTCAAGAAAGTCTTGAAATCCAACTTGGAAATGTATCTCAAAGTAAACACAGAAGTGTGTATTTGTGTGTGCGTACGTGTGTGTGTGTATAAAAAGATCAGTGGATCAATATTAGTGGGAGAATGTGCATGTCTATCTGCAGCATTCCATCTCCTGGTGTTTGTACATTAACATATTTTTTAATGGAGACATCAGAAAGGAGTCTGCTAATTTTAAAACATTTTGATGACATTCAACCAGCAGAATGTCAAATCACATAATAAAATAAAATATACCAGATAGTATAATGCAATGCGCGGAAAGAAAAAATAAATTGATAGCACACACATCGAAGCATTATCACAATATTTCGTTCGCTGATGTAGTAGAATTGTTGCCGGTTTGTAATCTCATTCACGCTTAATAAACAGCAATAAACTAAAAAAATTTAACATTCGATTGTCTCTGTTGGACCGCCATCATAAAAATTACTTTACATAGAAACAACAATGCGTACCCAGTTTACTTTTAAATAATATTTTTAATACAAAGATGTATTTGTATGTGTGTGTATATTTGTATGTATGTGTGTGTGTACATGCATGTGTATGTATGTATGTATGTATGTATGTATGAATGTGTGTGTGTGTGTGTGTGTGGTGTGTGTGTGTGGTGTGTGTGTGTGTATGTACATGTTTGATTTGAAAAATCTGGTTTTTAATGTGATTGAATGGCGTAAAAATATTGCCATCGTTGGGGAATCCATTTAATTTCAACTTTTATTGCTTGGCAGGATTGAAATTATTGAATTAACCCTTGAAAGTTTTGCGATAAAAAGAACAATTAATGAAGAACCGATCTATTTTAAAAAATCTAAAACAACAACGACGGTAAATTAAGTAACTTGAACGTAAAAAAACTAAAATAAACGAAAAAAAACATAAAAATATTCTAATAAAAATTAAAAAAATCCAACGAAGCAGAAATATTTCCAAAAATGTCCTGCAGTCCAGTAAGAAGAAGCAGGCAGGCAGGCACGCGTGAGTCAGGCGTGGAATTACATGCTCGCTTGTTAGTTAGATGCACCTTCCTATCCTTTCTAGGGAGGATAGGAAGGTGCATACTTTCAAACAAACAGACATGGTATTGTCAACAAACATTAACTTAAGACTCATAGATGTACCGAAACATACCAGTCAGCCATACGTAAATACGCATCTTCATACGCGCATGCAAACGTGCAGACAAACAAATAAACATATATATAGATACGTATGTTCATACATATACGCACACATGCACACATAGAGAAATACATAAATATGCATATACATACGTACATTCATGCATACTTGTGTGCATTTGTAAATACACACCAACATACATGCATGCATGTATGCATACATACATACAAACATACATACATACATACATACATACATACATACATACATACATACATACATACATACATACATACATACATACATACATACATACATACATACACACTGCCTGTACGTTTTCTGCCCGGTGACTCAGCTAGAACGAAAATCAATATTCATGTAAACAAATATTTTCATCACCACCACTTTATCCATCATCATCATCATCATCATCATCATCGTCATCGTTATAACTCATCCTCTTCCTCCTTCTCATCATCATCACCATCATCATCATCATTTTATTTCAAAACCTATTCCATCATATTCCATCATCTTTATATCACCATTGTTGTAGTCATCATCCATGTGATAAGTAGTTACTCATTTAATTTATTATTATTATATTATTATTATTATGGTTATTATTATTATTATTACATTTTTTTATCTTTATTATCGTCGACATTGTTATCACCATCGTGCACTTGTGAATATTTTATAACCATCTCCTTTTTATTCATCATCGTCGTCGTCATCATCATCACCTTCCCCATCTTCCTCCTCCTTCTCTTCATCATCATCATCATCATCATCATCATCATCATCATCATCATCATCATCACAACTATCACATCATCTTCGCCATTAACCGTTCATTTTCCGGTTCCTCTTGTTCTATTTATCATTCAATGGAAGTTATTTTGTCATTTTCAAACTATCGCTCTGACGGACCGACAGACAGAAAGACAGACAGACAGACGGACAGACAGACAGGTGGACAGACAGTCAGACAGACAGACGGACAGATGGACAGACGGACAGAGACTGACGGACAGAAATTTTTCAATAGAACCTGCAGGAAATTATTTCCACGATTGGGAAAGTGACAAAAAAATTTTTTTTCTCTTAACGATTAAAATTCTAACGAGAAAAGAACAGTTGAGTTTTTTTTAGCGAGAATAATAATTAACCATCGATGAGTCTTTTTCATTTAATAATTTTTCCCTCGCGAAATTGCTTCGATACGAATTATCCGCCGATCTCATCAATAGGCAATTACCGATTCGTTCATATTTTTAATTTTTACGTTGAAAACAGGAAAACAAGTTTTGCCAGTAGATCTTCAGTCAAACACGACATCAAATCGCAGACGCCGCGTTTTCAAAAGCAGCAGCGGCCAACACAACAGCAAACGCTACTGCAGCAACGTCAACAACATGAGCAGCCATCATCGTCGTCGTCGTCGTCACCTCCTCCTCCTCCGCCATCTATCGACCTAACGGAATTTGAAAGAAATTGTTTCAACGCGTTGGATGCATTTCTCACGGAAACCAGACATCAGTCCAACCTTCTCGTTACTTCAAAGTCTTTAGGTTTCAATTTAAAAAAATATTCTTCTTACTGATTGTTTCAGTGACCGAATTGTTTTTAACAGATGCTCTCAATGATAATTATTCAGACTATGAATACTATTTAAAATTGGGTGATAAATTTAAGAATTAAACAAACACGGGATAGCTTTCAAATGTTTAGTTGTTGTTTATTTTGAAGATGTTCAACTGGAGGGCAGTGACGTCACAAGTCCGTCGTCATGGCAACGTCCAATCAACTTGGAACTTGAAGGTTTGCAGTCCTCCCATACGTTTTATAAATTAATATATTTTAAATTGGCTTGATCGATTGAAAATAATTACTCAGCTTCTGAAAGGAAAGTATTGGATCAGAAATCTGTTTTCCAACGATCGTTGAGTGAGCAGAAACCTCGTCTGCCGCCTCTATCTCACCTGCCTTCGCACTCCTCAGTTAAAAAACCAACCGTGGAAGTTGGCAGGTCACCACACAAACTGACTGATCACCATTCATCTAATCTGGCTTCAGCAACAAAACACCTCCATCACTACGCCGAACACATGAGGCACTACCAACCCACCCACGACACAAACCCCAGCCCGACCCGCAAAAGTCCAACCAGTCCATCATGGTCCAGATATCCACGAGAAAGTCCCACAAGATCTCCTTCTTCTCGATCTAAATCGCCTAATAGCGCAAATCGATTTTTTGAAAATGACACTTTTCCAGATGACTTGGAAAGAAAAGACGTTTTGTCGTCACTTTCATCAAGCTCTGAGGAATCATTGAACGATCGAAAAGAAGCAGAAATGAGAAATTTTGAAAGAGATGAAGTCGGTCTGGTAAACTCAACTAACGGTGACGATGATATCTACACGTACGATCTTGCAAGTTTTGCTGCATCTGTGCACAGCAGCACCAAGCATTTAATGAGCCTTAATGCTAGCCCTCCAGATTGCAACTACGAAAAATTTACTCAAGTTTTAGAGTCATCAGAAAAATTACTCTCGGAATGTTACTTTGATCACAAAGCACTACCTAAACATTTGCAAAATTTAAGTTCAACAGCTCAAGTTAAAACGAGCAACCAACCTTTAATCCAGCCCAAACAACAACTTCCCGATGACAGAGAAGAAATTAGTAACTATGCAGAGTCACAAGTCACTAAAAATTCAAACATGCACTTCTCTCAGACTGACGATTGGTCTCCAATTAGAGATCTTCTGTACCCAATTCTTGATGTCTCACCCTCTGTCGAACAAAAAGAAGAAGGTGCTGAACGTAAAAAAAATTCTGAATCTGAAAAGATAGAAAAAAGCGAAAAAGTTATAAAATCTTATGAAAATAATTTAAAAAATACAAAAGAAAAAGATAATCATAACACAGAAAAGCAAAAACCTTCGCTGGCAAAATCTTCACAGGCACTACCACAAAGAAATGATCGCGCTGATAACTGGTCGAGTGATGTAATGAAGAGGTTTCCAGGTCAATTAACTCCTGTTGAGACTGATTTCGATGACGAAAACGACAAGCAAATCGGTCATCAAAAGCAAGCCCTGCCAAGCAATAACAACGACGCCGTGACTAGCTGGTTTGATAAAACTTCGCTCTTTGGCAACGTGGATACTAGCGATGAACGTGAAAACGATTTCTTAAACAGTCCGATTGTTTTTGTCAATAGTGATGAAGACAGGGAAATTGATTTGGACGAGGATATTCCTCCCAAGCCATTCATGAACAGAAAATCCACCAAGACTAACGTTCCGAAGCAGCAAGAAGCTGAACAAAGTAGATTGGATCTTGAAAACTTTACGATAAATCAACAAGCAAATGACGACAAAAAAATCATTGACTCTAAAAACAATCAATTTGAAGTTAGTCAAACGTTAATTTTTAATTTTGTTGAAACATTTAAATTTTTATAAAAAATATATTATTTTTTTTATACAATAATAGAGCCAACAACAACTGCATTCTAGCAAAAGTGAAACAAGTTCAAACGCAAACTTAGTTAAAAATGCGAATCCCAGTTTACCAAATACTAAACAATCTTCACCTAATGATACACCTACTTCAGCGGTGAAAGCAAAACTATCGAAGCATCCACCTCCTCCTCCTCCTCCTCCACCAAAACAACGAGCCATTTCTTACGAGGAGACACACAAATATTTAAAATCAAAAATTCTCGAGCCTGTTCAGTTAGACGAAAAAACAAAAACCGTAAGTGAAAATGAAAATATTGCTCCATCCTCTGTAAAGAATATAATACGAACTTTTGAAACTGTACAAGATAACAACAAAGCAAACATTCATAAAGAAGAATCTCCAAGCAAAAGATCTCCAGGTCGATCTTCTAAAGCAACTAATAACCATTCGGAGCAACATAGTCACATTCAACCGAATGAATGTTATAATCAAGAGGTTGAAGCGAATATTTCAAAACCTTCTGATTTCTCGCGGAGACAAATTTCAAATGAAAATGAGAAAGTTAAATTGCCACAAAAACCTAATAGAGATCAAATTCAGGGGCATAAATCTTCGGATGAAAAATCGTACCAACGTAATAAATCAGCGTATTCGGCAGGTGACTCATATTCTCCTAAGAAACACATTGAAAGCCGCAGCTCTTTTCATCAACACGAAGACGTTAAAGAGAGCTCTGGTTCACCTAGAGCCGCATTAGTCATGAATGCCAACAATTTTGCGGACAATAAAAAATTACAACAATCCGCATTGAGAGAACGTCCATGTCTCGCCAGAAGTCAGGAGTCTCCTAAAAGTCAAACAGCTCTTCAACGACAACTACAAATGCAACCAAAACAACCACACCGCCAGCAACAGTGTCATCAACAACAAAATAATCAACAACAAAATAATCAACAACAACCATTGAAAAGTCAAAGTGAAGGTGTTCATAGTCAACAGCAAACAAAAAACCAATCCAGTAAAAAATTTAAAAGACCAATAAATCCAAAATCAACGCAAGTACAACCAACATCTAAATCTTTTCAACGAGCTCCACCTATTCCACCGCACAAATCGCCAAGCAGAAGACCTCCGCATAACGGATCAAATCCAAATCTAGTGGAAACACCGTACATGCAGTCACCTTTAGAACAAGGCCTAAGGAAAAGGCCACAAAGATTACAAGCAAATCAACGCCATCTTCCGCCACAACCGCAAATTTCAACGTCAGATCACGAACGAGCAAACAATAGAAGTGGACCAGTTATGCATAAAAGAGGAGCCGTGTCCATGCATGATTTGGATGATTACTCTTCATCAGCATCCCCTTACCATGGGCACTATCCTGAACTGTCCGATTATAATTTTCAACAAAATTTTGATCCCCGGCAACCAAACGTATCTCCGGCTCATCGTCCTCATTATTCAAAAAAGATACCAAATAGTCAGTCGCTGACATCATTGCCAGTGACAACGTATGAAACTGATTACTTGAACCCCAGATATGATGTTGCGTATAATTATGCAATAAATAATGAACATCTTAATGAGAAACAAGAAAAGTTATTGAAGCTTCAAGAAGAAATTGAAAAACGCAAGTATCACCTTTCTGAATTAAGTAAAACTCAACTGCAACAGTACCAACAGCAGCAACAACTTTATGACCAACTTCCATCTCGATGGTTCACAAAACCTGACAGCGATGAGTATGGTGTGCGATTGTACAACGATCCCGAAGCCTATTCCATTTCTAGTCCTCTCTCACAACATCGAATTGTTGACCAACAACGACAGCACCAATTTGTTCACAACCCTGAAAATTCACGTTATATGGGGTTGATTAAACCTATAGATTATCAAATACATCCTGAAGACTTTCTGACAGATGAAGACATTATATCATCACAAGTTTCTCAAGTGTGTCCCACTATAGATCCAGTTCACGCGCATGTTTACAGCTCCGTTGAATACCTCGCACACAAATCTGGAGAAAGTGGTCAATACCAATATTTGCCTCCCGAGAGCAAACTCGTCGAGCAGTACTTGGATAGAAAAGCCACGGAAATTAACCAGCAAATGCGTCCAATCGGTCGCAAAATGAAAGGATACGTGGATCAAACACCGAAACGTCGCAGCAAATCGGAATATGCTGGAGCTCTCAACGAGCCCGCTTACGCACCAACAACATTCAAAGGCAGTTTAGGTTACCTCAATGCTTTGATTCCTGGAACTGATCCATATATCATGCAACAAAGAGATCAAATAATTCCTGACTTACCTATTGATGAATATCTGGATAATAGGCCGGGCCTTTGCCTCGACGATTTGGAGCTAAGCAGACAAACATTTGCTGATATTTTAACTCTCAATAAACCGTTCATGACAGCAGAAATTTATCCAGAGTTAACTATGCAACAAGATAACTCAATAGATGATCAAGTACCGGCTAGAAGAGAAAGATACATGGATGACGGTATGATGGAGATGAGGAGCTACGGTGGCCATCTAACACGGGACGACATGACGCCTGCAATGACAATTCTGGATGATGTACCAAGTAGAACCAGAAATATTTTGAGAGATATTGGAAGTAGACCGCTGTCTGACGATTTAGAAAAATATTTCCAACAAACAGACGGTTATTAAAAATTGTTACGTATTTAAAAAATAAAAAATTGATTCACAGCATTGCTAAGAAGCCTTCTGAAAATGGAAATGTTTGTTAACAGATTCTATGGGGCTAGTGTACAGAGAGGAAAGTATGAATAGCGTGGCCGAATCAAATGATGAATTTGTTATGGAAGGCGGAATCACAATTAAAATGCAAATGGAAAAGAAGAAAAAGGTCGAAATTTTTTATATCGAATTTGCGATTTTTAAAAATGATTTGCAAACTAATGAAAATAAATGAAAATTTAAATAAAAATAAATTTTTTGTATCATATTTGCTTGAAAAATTTATATTGAATTAGAAAGAATCATAAATCACTGTGAAAATATTTTAGTAATGGTTGTTAGTGGTTTTTCTGCATGTTCATCTTTTTAAATGAATTTTTTCTATTAAAATCCTGGATTTTAGGTTTGCATTTTAATATAATTACTAATTGAAAAATAAAATAAAAAAATGTTTGAAATTTCCAGTCAGGTACAATGGAATGTCTAACACAACGATACAGCTTCGAAACTAAAAGAATTTTATTCACGCCCGATGTCAGAGGTAATGCATTGCAATCGCTACATCATATTTCAATCTTATGTACAGTTTTTAAACGTTGGCATTATGTCTTTCGTGAACAAATCAATAGGTTAACATCCATCATGAATAAATATGTGTGCTATTACATTATTTAAACTTTTTTTATTGTAGGTAGTAGTGAGTAAAACATCCATTGTATTTCAGATAAAAATCTAGGCTTAAAAATAGTTAGCGGCAAAACATTGGGACTAAACGCTGAAGATGAAATGGGCGCATTTGTCCTATCCATATATCCTGGATCAGTGGCAGAACAACTGCATGGCGAGCTGCACGAAGGTCTTCATCGGATCAGTAGTCCTTCTTGATCATTAAACGTTGTTTATCAATTATTTAAGTACTTGAACGTTTCCCATTGTTTCTTTCTGATATTATGTTATTGCACGTTATTAAAATTAAAAAAAATGTTTGTCTCAAGAAGTGTTGATATTTCAAAATAATTAATCAAAATGAATCCAGGAGATCAGGTGCTTGAGTGGAATGGCGAATCATTATCTGGCAAGAAGGACCAGGAAATTCTTCAAATCATGACGAGAGCTGCAGGAGAAGTTGAACTAGTCATCAAATCGTTAGTTTCGAAGTTGATATATTTTGCTAATGTAAAAATTGTGACCTTGGTTGATAAAGCTTTAGCATTTTGATAATTTCGCATACATTTTTCACAGCAACGTTTATTCGAGTACCCACCCATCTAATACGATGTCAACATTCACATCGAGGAGTGTTGAATCCTCCTTCGACAACATGCAAAACATAAGTGACTGTGAGTTTTAATTGTTCATTTGATTTCATTTAGTGTGTTTTGATTTTTATAAAACACGCTGTTTTAAACCTTTCCGAAGATGGTACTCCAAATATGACTCCCGCGTCAACGAGAAAAGAAACAAGCGTCAACGAATCACCGAGTCAGGCGAGCCTACTTAACCAGTCCGCTAAATTCAGACTACCAAATAACGTGCCATCTCCAACTCCAGCCATGTCCATCACACCTCTTTCCAACAGGAGGGTTGAGTCGATATCTTCGCTGAAGTCGCAATCCGATTCGAACGAACGAATCAAGACACAAAATTTTAGTCGATCAGTAAGTTTGGCGAATATTTAATATACTTATTTATATACTTAGTAGGATGAATGTAGTGAAATTATTTTAGTAAATATTTAATATATTTCAAACACAAAAAATTCACAATTTTTGAGATTTAAGAAATTCAATATTTTACATAATCATTGAAACAGGAAACAGATTCTTACCTTGGTGAAATTCAGGTGGGCGATATTTTGAAATATTTTCAAAAATAAAAAACAATCGAAGCCTGTTAAAACATTTGTAAAAATCAACATGATATTTGATTGGACAGATTCAAATGAGTTACGACGATTTTGATAACTCGTTGAACGTCCGCGTCATCAGAGCTAAAAATATCCAGCCAGTCAGAAAGAGCAACGTTGTAGACGCGTTTGTCAAAATTAGTCTCCTGCCTATAACAAAGTACGACAATAAGAAAATGTTATTTAAATTATTTCATTTTGTTTCGTTATTAACTTTTATCACTCTGCCTAAAAGCTAAATATTGTAGATTGATTGAAAGTTATTTAATTTTTCTTGCTATTCTTAGTCCGCAAGATTGTAGGAAAACTAAACCTGTAGAAAAAACATTAAACCCGGAATGGGATCGTTTATTTGTGTTTCTGGGAGTTGACAGAATGCAGCTTATGGAACGGGCTGTTGAAGTTTCCCTCTGGGATCACGATAAATTTTTGCCAAATACATTCATTGGCGAAGTGGTTATTGACTTCAATGGTAAATTCATCCTCTGTTGAATATTAATTGCTCAAGATTAAGTTTAATTAAATATTTTAAATTTTGTATGACTATATCGAGATTTGTTTTTGTTGAATGACAGTTTACAAATAAAAATCATAAAAACATTCAGACAAAAAGAGATTGGATAACAAGGCATACTGGTACAGACTGTGCCTGGAAGACAACCACACAGCTTTTGGTGGACGACCTCGATCCAGTTTGTCCTCTGAAAGTCTGTCGAGTACACCAAACAGGTTGAACACCTATCAAATTATTTGAGAAGAACATTCAATTTTATATCCTATATATATATATATATATATATATACGGATACGAAAATGATTCGATGGATGCAACATGTTAATCGGAGGGGCCACATCCATACAACTGAAGTCCTTAAAAGATGCACATCGACGTCATCGTCTATGTTGGTTTAGTCATGTCAGGCAAAGCGAAGATGGGACAATAACCTCTGTCTCGAATCATCAGGTGCCTGCCAGACGATCGCTGAATGCAGACAATTAAGGAAAACCTAAAGGCGCTAAATCTCAGGCAGCTGGACGCAAATGGTCGAGAGGCTTGCAGACAGAAATTGATGTCATGAATACAAAAGTTCAACCCAAAACGGAAACGAACTCTAAACGAGGATTGATTGATATATGAGACTTATTTTTAATGTAAAATCATTTTTGAGTTTATTTTTCTTAAATTACAAAATTTAAATATTTTTTTCAGTTTTGACATGATTTTATTTTATTCTTTATAAAAAGATAATAGTTTTGTGTAACATTCTGACGAGACAGATCGATAGGCAGTGGATCGATACATTTCAATGTGAAGGGCATGCCGTCCCATGGTTTGAACAGGTCACCTCAAAAAGATACGTACGTAGGTTCAAACCTAGCCAGCATCAATAAAGATCCGTCCACCAGCTCTATCGGAGGTAGTGCATTAGATCATTCATATGAATTTAAATGAATATGATTTTATTATAAGAACATCGGTTTTCCTGTTGAATTATTTAATTTTCTGCTTTTAAAATGTGGTACAAAATCTAGTTTGAAAACCACTGACTCCGTTCTATAACAGTTTATTTATTTTTGAACATTTACCAAGAGTCATCATACAGCGTACGGAGCCAAGGACAGTTTCACGTATCCGAGCAACCTGCAGTGGTTGCAGCAGCAGCAATAACAGCAGCAGCACCAGCGTCCGTGGTGAGTGTGTTTCCTGATGTGCACACCGTGCCACAATCCACATCCGATTCAAGTGGATATTTTTTTTCCGAGGATAGCACTGGAGGTCATGGGGTGGATGGGAATGTACATCGGGACAGAAGTGCGGTCGCTGGAGGGCTGGCGGTTCCTGGGGATCACTGGTTCCACACGCAGATTGATTCTGAAAGCTTCGAAATTATAAAAAATCAGCCAAAAAAGCTCTCCGAAACGAAAGATGAAGATTACAACAAATCAACCCAGAGTGACGATGATAAGGCGAAACATGCAGTTGGTGCCACGAATGACCACAAAGTGACCGACCATCCAAATCACCACCCTGATAGCCACACTTCTTTTAAAACCAAAAACCAAGCTCAATTGGAATCCTCTGCTCAAGAACTCGACCAAATTTTTCAGGAGTTGTCAGAAGCGTCAAGAAACATTCAGAGAACAATTGAGAGGAGGTCAAGTAGTGCCGGCAACATGTTGGAAGAGGTCAGTGAATAATTTTTTTTTATTATTAAATTAGTTTAAAAAGTTTTCAGTAATTTAAGTTTTATGGTTAAATTAATTTAAATAGTTTTCAATAATTTAATAATCATACCTATCATCATCATCCATATATTTTATATTTTAAACCAACCAATTTAAATTGCATTTTGTTGCAATTTACTGCAACAAAAACTGTAAAATGTTATTCTTTAAAAATGTTAAAAAATTAGAAAAAGTTGACACATAGTAAAAAATGTTAAAGCTGAAAAAATGGAGACAGCTAGCAAACAATTTGTTACTTTTTGAGCTTCTTGTACCTGAACAAAAATTCGATGACATTGAAACTTTGCCAACAATTTTAAAACCTTTTCCCTATCAATTTTTGATGAACTTAGCCACCAACGCAATTTATAAATAACGATTAAACATTGAAGGACATTTTCTCTGGGGCGTAACTGAAAATAATATTGCATTACTTATTTATGTAATTAATTATATGCCATCGTTCATGTAAGACATTAATTTGTTGTTATAATATTGTGATGACAAAACAATTCTTCAGAACAAAAGATCTGTGGGATCACCAGTACCTCACCATCCAACCTCTGCCTCCATCAATGAACTCAAGACATCAACATCACCAACAACAACATCACCACCACCACAACAACAACAACCAACATCACCACAACAGGCAACAACACCATCCACAACTGATAACACGTTTTCATCTGCTCCGACAACAATCGCCGCAACAACCTCTGCAACAAAAATATTGGACGACAACAAATCAAACAACTCGAGTTCTTCGTGCAGTATCGAAACGGCGTTCAGACGGGCTTCAACCATCGCCGATGCGGAAGAACAAGTGGAAACGTTCAACGTGGTGCAGCAACAACATGAACGACTGCAACAAAAAGCTCAACAACGACATAACTCGCAACAACACACTCAACATCAACAACAACAACAACATGCTGAAGAAAGTACAAAGTTGTTGAAGGCTGATTCGGCTGAATGCGTGGCTTCTTACGCTAATTCATCACGCTGCTCAACGCCTGTCAGTTTTTTGTTGTCGTGCTTTTTCAAGAAGTTGTGCTGCTGAATGACTGTTGTTGTTGTGTTGTTGTTGTGCTGTTGTTTTAAGGGTGTTGTTGTTGTGATGCTGTTGTTGTGTTGTTGTTGTCGATGTGATGTTGTTGTTGTGATATTGTTGTGGTGATACTGTTGTGATGTTGTCGTTGTGATGTTATTGTAATGTTGTTGTTCTTTCACATTGTCACTGCTCTTTGAGAAAGAAAGAATACAGCGTGAATAATAATTACAGTAATTGTGGCTGAGTTGTATTGTCAGCTTGTGTTTCGGATGTGAAAATTGTTTACTTCACTATTACAATTATAGTATTTAAAATGACCACCAATTATAACGTCAATTTAATAATAATAATAATAATTATTATTATTATAATAATTATTATAATTATAATAATAATTAATTATAATAATAATTATGAATGGCAATCAATTAGCTAATTGTTTGTTCGCATGTAGATTGACGCTTTATTTGAAGACGCCAAAAGGAATGAAATGATTCTGAAACAGATGAATAATGAAGGTAGTTGCTGTAATTAATGTTGCCACACACACACATACACACACACACACACCACACACACACACACACACACACAAACAAACACATACACACACGTACGAACACATACACACAACGCATACACACACACACTTTCTATATGTTTTTAATAGCATTACATTAAGTGTGTTTTGTATAGTAGGATTTTTGTTATGTGGTTTTTTACATGAATTTACTTTAATGCGTTGCGTTTTTTTCTCATGTGAATGTTAGACGCCATCTAGCTAACAATTGGATTTTTTTGTTTTTTTTGTTTAGTTTTGTTATCAGTGTCTTCTTTCTTATCAGCAGTTTTTAACTGCGTCATAACTTCATCATCTTTCCACTGTATTCGCTATCATCGTCATCTCCATCATCAATACCCTCTCCCTCTTCTTCCTTATCTTCCTCCTTCTCATCCTCCTCCTCATCATCTTCCTCATCATCATCATCCTCATCATCATCTTCATCATCATCATCATCATCATGGTCTTCGTCCTCGTAGATAATTCTAGAAACAATCCAGTGACGTCATCGATACACGGGCTGATAGCGGCGTTCAGTTGCTGCATCAGGGGTGGTGCTGGTGGCGGTGGCCGAAGAGTGCAGGTGTGTGTGTGTGTGCGTATGTGTGATTTAGTGTGTATGTGTGTGTGTGTGTGTGATTTGGTGTATTTGTATGTGTGTGTGTGTTAATTGCTGTGTATGTGTGTGAGAAAGAGTTGGTGAGTTTGTGTGTGTGTGTGTCTGTCTGTGTATTTGGATTAGAAAGTGAGTTTTGAATAACATGGTGTGAATATGTGTGTGAATTTGGGTGTGTAGTAAATGCCTTTGTCAATTTGTGTGTGAACATATATATCTATGCATGTATCTTTGTATATGTATGTAGGCGTAAGTATTAAAGTATTAATACAAGTATACTTTTGTGTGTGTATGTGTGTTGTATATATATACACGCAATGCATTGCACACACACACACCTTTTTGTGAGATGATTTTCGTAGCATGTTAACAAGCAGATTGTATGCATACCGAATGTGTGCGTGTGTTTCTATATAAAAATTCTTTTGTCTGCATAAACTCGAAGTTTGTTAGCATTTTTTGACATTTATTTGATAGGCAATACCCATCTGCATACATTCACAAATGCTTTTTTTTCTTGCACACACACACCCACGCGCGCGCGCGCACACCACACACACACGCAAACATATTTGCAAACCAAAGCATGCAAACAAACTATACATATACATTTATGCATACATGTGTACAAACATACATACACAAATCTATGCAAAACATTAATCCATACATACCATACATACATACATTCACAAACACATACGCACATGTTTACATAAAATCGATCATAAAATATACACATACATACATTTGTACAAAATATATATAAACATATATCTTAACATACAAAACATACAACACACACACACACAAACACTCACTGATATACACACCTAAGAGTTCTTTATTGTATTATGAATGCATGTTTGTATTGATTTGTCCGTTCTCCATGAAATGTTGCATTGTGTGGCTGTTGTTATATGTTGTTTTCGTTGGGGTTAATATACGTTGTTGTTGTTGTTGTTGTTGTTGTCGTTATGATGCTATCAAGTAGTGATGTTTTTTATTTCATTCTTTTGTATTTCAGGACTCGAAGTTTGTTGGAAACTCGTTGAAGCGGTATTATATGATGATGGTGTGATGATGATGATGACGTGATGGTGGTGGGATGATGGTGGTGATAATTGTTATGATGATTGTGATGATGATACATTAATGCGATGACGATTAAGATGATGAAAAACAACAACGATGTAGACAACTAAGACACGATGAAGCTGAAAATGACGATGATGAATAATGATGAATGATAATAGTAATCACCATACATAATAATGATGATAAAAATGATGGCTGAAAATCTGATAACGCTGACAAGAATTTCTTTTACGGTGACAACAAAATATAATAAAATTATCATATGACTATGATGGTGATCACCAAAATATATAGTTGACGAGGTTGATAATAATGGACGAAGATGATAACGACGACGATGCTGTTGCAGCTGTGGCTGGAACTGTGGCTGCTGTGGCTGTGGTTATAGCTGTAGCTATGGCTGTGGCTGCTATGGCTGCTGTTGTTAATGATGGATGATGATAATAATGATGACGACGACAACGACGATGAATGAAGATGATTGATTTCGATAGAATAGTTTATAATGATGATGCATTACATTATTCTAATGGCAATGATGGTCTCTAAGAATGTGATGATGACGATGATAATAATAGTAATTGTACTAATATTACTACTACTACTACTACTACTACTACTACTACTACTACTACTACTACTGCTACTACTACTACTGCTACTACTATTAATAATAATAATGATTATGAAAACGATGATGATTATGATGATGAGAATGAGAATGATGATTGGTGTTGCTTGATGTCGTAAAAATAAAGTAGCAGTGGTAGTAGTGATAGTAGTAGCAGCAGCAGCAGTAGTAGTAACAGTAGTAGTGATAGATTGAGCAGTTTTATCGTAATAAAACTACCACTACCGCTACTACAACTACTACTACTATTACTTTTACTACTACTAATACTACTACTACTACTACTAATAATAATAATAAAAATATTAACAACAATATTACTAATAATAAATGATCTTATTAATAATTTATCTTACAACAACAACATTGAACATCAGATAGATTTTTCAACTCCTTGCTGTTCAGTGAAAAAACAAACACTTCTACAAAAGCTATGATCAAGAGATCATCCATCACCAACATCAACAATATCATCGTCTTCATCGTCATCATCATCATCCTGACCAAAATCATCGTCATCATCATCATCATCGTGACCACAATCATCGTCAACTGCTAATATTAGCGTCGTCATCATTGACATCATCGTCATCGTCATCATCATTAAAATGTCCTCATCATCATTCATTGTCACTACTGTCGCCATTCCATGCAATCCAGCCACCAACTGAAGCATGGCATTGTTTGCTCGTTATAACGAAGTTCATGATTGCAATTTGCATGTCCGTCAGTCTGACGAGGTTTTTGTCGCTATGTTTGGAATGGGATTTGGAAATTGAAATACAATTAGTGGATGGTTCATCATCATCAATAACAACAACAACTGCAACAATAATAACTTCTAAAACAAACACTACAACAACAGCAACAACATTTGTACCAACATGAAGAGTTGCAACAACGTCATAATTTCCACACCAACAATTAACAACAACACGATCAATTACGTCATCGCCAATGTCACAACAACAACACCGGCCAGATCCAGTATTCTTTGCTGTAGACTTAAAAACAACATTGTATGACATAGCAAGCAACAAAACAAAACTCTACAACAAGTCTGAAACAATGTTTCGGATGTTGTTAGCTAATCACGCTGAGAACAACGACGATGCTATGGGCTATAGAACTACCGATAACACCGATGACAAATTGTAATCATCGTATCATATCAACAGTTACATTTTCATCGTCAATAATTACACGATAAAAATTCAACCTCAATCAACTAATCGCAAACTTTTATTCAATTTATTCGATAGGTATATTGACCAATCAAACAAGCTCTACCTACCTTGGATTAAAAGTTATATTTCATACTATATATATATATATATATATAAATATATATATATATATATATATATATATATTTAATCATTTTTACATACTTTGTCATTTCATTTTATCTATATTGGGCATATAATTCAGAAACTGTATTTTTACGTATACATATATATGTATATATATATATATATATATAAATATAAATATATATATACATATATATACATATATATGTATATATATATATATGTATATTATACATTTATATATTGATTGTTCATACTATTTATTTGTAACGTGTGTGTTGCGAAGTCAAACATTAATATCTAGTCTATGTTGTAAATTTTTCATTCTTTGCTCTTTCTTACGTCATCACTTGATTCTTCAAGCCTCCGTCATTGGTTCAGAATTGTTAATCATTCATTCATTCATTAATTCATTTGTTCATTCATTTGTTCATTCATTTATTCGTTCGTTCGTTCGTACGTTCGTTCGTTCGTTCATTCGTTCGTTCGTTCATTCGTTTGTTCGTTCGTTCGTTCATTCATTCATTCATTCATTCATTCATTCATTCATTCATTCATTCATTCATTCATTCATTCATTCATTCATTCATTCATTCATTCATTCATTCATTTATTTATTCATTCATTCATTCATTCATCCATCCATCAATTCGTTCGTTCGTTCGTTCATTCATTCATTCATTCATTCATTCATTCATTCATTCATTCATTCAATCAAACGTTTTTTTAGTTCATTAATATTCGTTCTCTTATTGACATTTCAACATTTAGGAAATAATTCAATGTACGAGTTGAACGTTTAACCAGCCGTTGAATAGATAAGCAGAGAAAGAAAGATAGAAAGAAAAAAAGAGGATAGAAAGAGGAGAGAGAGAGAGAGAGAGAGAGAGAGAGAGAGAGAGAGAAGGAAAGAGAATTAACAAGATGAACAAAGTTTGAAAACATAGAAAAGTATTTAAGACGTTAAGATAAAAGAAAGGGAGTGAGAATTTTAAAGATTACCATGATTTCCAACAACTAATAACCCAAAAGGACACAGTTGTTTTAATATTCTATTTATTAGCGAATGGCGAATTACATTTAAAAATGAACTTCTGCAACAACTGGCCCTTCTATTTTTTACTCATGCATCTTTGTATCGTGTGTTGTTGGTTGTTTTTACATATTTAAAAAAAATCGATTTGTCTTTGTAACGTTGTACGATTTTCATTCAATATCGTTCCTCTGTTTTTTACATTCTCAAGTTCCTATGTTATTGAATACGTCATTACTCTTTCAAAATTCATTCATTCATTATAAGGAAGGGTTGTGTGCGTGTGTGTGTGTGTGTTTGTGTGTGTGCGCGTGTGTATTTGTGGTCTGCGTGTGTACGTGTGAAAAACTGCTTGATTGATTGGCTGGTTGGTTGATTGATTAATTGCTGTATATTATGTAAGTTTTTTTTATTACAATCTATATTCCTGTAATCATATTCATATAAAAGCTTGTCAAATATTGTTTAAAAAGTTGAATCTAGTTTTTCTACTATAAATCAAACACACAACCACACACACGCACACACACACACAAACAAACATCGTGTGACCATTTTGTCATATGAAAAGAAAAATTATATTGTGATATGGGGATAAAACAAAATTTCTGATTGCATATGTTACAATATGCTGCATATATTTTTAACAAAATGTAAAAATTCGTAACATATTTAACGAGTATCATATTTATTTGTTAGCTTTATTTTTGTTTATGATACTATTATGTTATTTATTTGTTAATTAATCAATTAATTAATTCATTCATTCATCTATTTATTTATTATGAACTCAAACATTGCAACTAAAAATGAAGTTGTATTGGAGCAAATCACATGTAAAATAGTAGTTCTATGTTTATATAATATCGCAAACAAACCAACCAACCAACCAATCAATGAAATACATTTATATAAAGCGAAATATTCATGAAATTCAACCTGATAATCAAAGATATTAGATGCATAATTTATTTAATAAGCCATCCAATGGGAGAAATGTCGGAAGATTGTGTGTAGTATTTGGCTTCTATGCGTTACTTCTTGGTATATTTCTATTTCATAAATATTTCAAGATTGGAGTAAAGTATTGTATTGCATTGCATTGTATGTATGTATTGCATTGAATTGCATTTATGTATGTATGTATTGTATGTATGGTTGTATGTTTTGTATGTTGTATGTATGTATGTATTGTATGTTAGTATATATCTATGCTTGTACGTACGTATGTATGTATATAGGCAAGTATGTAATGTGTGAATTTTTGTATTGTATAATATCCTATTGTCTTTTATTTTAATGGATATATGTTTTGTATCGGATTGTTTGTATTATATGTTATGAATTTTATTGTATGCATGCACAGTATTGTGTTGTTTTGTATGTTTTGGATGTATGTTTGTATGTATGTATTGCTTTGTAATGTATGTATTGTAATGTATGCATTGTAATGTATGAATTGTAATGTATGAATTGTATCGTTTATTTGATCAGCTTTGTGACACAGTGAGTTAATTAATCCCGTATCAGTGATGGTAAACAAACAAAATCAGTTCTTACGTTTCAACTTTACCTTTCGATAAATTTTATACAATTTTTTGATAAATTTATTTTTTCTGTTAATTTTTTCTAGATCAAAAAACTTTCTAAAATAATGTTTTATTATAGGTACATTGACATATTTAAAGCTTTTTTATACATATTTATTATAAATGTATATATATATATATATATATATATATATATATCTACACATAATTATATATTTAACATATAGACTTGTATGATATTATCTAAATGTATTAAAATCTATATTACACATATGATATATACATATATACATAATTATAGATATATATATATAAGATATATATATATATATATATATATATATATATATATATATATATACATTCATTTTCACTCTGAACATTACTTATGCTGGCGTGTCGAGTTTATATTAAAATCAGCTGTCCTCAAACTCTACATGGTTAGTTAAATAGTTCTTACTTACTAAATTTTGTCTTATCACTACTTTGTCAGTGACGTCATAATCATCATCGTCGTCGTTTTTATCATTATCACCATCGTCACCATTACTATCATCTTCATCATATGCATGTGTTATTAACTACCTCTTCTCTATCTTTCTTTCTACATAGGCAAACGTTTATTACTGCACACACATACGCACACACAGACACACACATACACATGCACATACACACTCACACACACACAGATGTAAATTTTATAACAAGCAGCCCATTTAACCAAAACACAATTTTATGATAAAAAATTTTATTTTTGTCTATTTAGGCTTTATTACGTTTATAAATGAAAGTTGTTTTAAAATAAAATTTCTTCAAACTGTGTAACATCATTAAAAAAACTGACTTAATTTATTTAAAATTATTATATATATAAATATTTAAAAAAATGGCAAAAGAATGCTATTTACAATAAATTGTCTATTAATAAATGAAATTAAAGAATATAAATACATTTCATGAGTAATTAATTATTATTCAATTGATTTAGTAGTTAAATTGTCTTTACTTGTGTAATGTATCAATTCATCAATTCAGGAGAGAGGAGAACATTTAAAAGAATCTCTTTTGTATTTCACAAAAGCTTCAACAACAAACACCTGATTCCATTTGATTCTACACAAACTTCCCCACGGATTGCATATGACAGGAGGGAGTCTGTATTTGAACCAGGTCATAGCAACATCAGTACCAGGCACCATCACCATTAAACCATCGCTCCTAGAGTAACATTAGTGTGTTAAAAAAATGTTACTACACTTACTGATAAGTAAACTTATTTATTTATTTTTTTTTTCTAAAATAAATTTAATTAATTAATAAATCGTAATCGTTGTCGTCATCATCATCGTCGTCGTCATTATTATCATCACCACCCCATCATCATAATCATTATCATCGTCATCGTCAGCTTCTTGTAAATGTCCAGGTCAAAATTGAGAAATTAAATTTAAACGCCTCTTAAAAATTCATGCCGGAAAACAGAGAAAACTTTGGCACCAACACATCAGATAAATATTATACATATAAATATATATACGTATATAATATCTATAATATTTAGTATATATATATAATATAATATATAATATGTATAGATAATATAACATATATAATATATATATATATATATATATGATTTAAATGTTTTAAGCTTGTTTTTCAGCCTTACTTCCTCTGTGTTTCTCATCACAATCTCACTCTTTCCTTTTCTCTCCCTCTCTCTTTTTTTGTCTTTTTTTGTCTTTTTCACTTTTTCCATTTTTCCTTTGTTATCTTTCCATTTCGTCCTTTCATTTCCTCATGTGGTGCTGTTTATGCCGATGCAGTTACACGTTTCTCCGGCATTCTTCCCGCTGTCTCATCATTAAAAATACTCCAGCTATCAATCATTATAACACACACACTCACTCACTCACTCACTCACTCACTCACTCACTCACTCACTCACACACACACACACACAAACACCCACACGCACACACAAGCACACATACACATACATACACATCATAAACACACACTCATTTTGAGGTGTATAACAGTAAAAAATTAAGTATAAATATACTAAAAATAATCAAGGACAAACAAGAGATTACTAAAAGTTTGCGAATAAAACTACAAATGAAAGCAAGAATGCGCTAAAAACCCAAAAAGAATGTTTCTCTCTTACGGATGAAAGTACGTTTTGATGCTAGAACTTCAGATTAGCTGGCCTTCTTAATTAGATTTTAATATTTTTTTCAAACATAAAACTAAAATATAAAACTAATGAAACGTGTGGTCTGTTAAAATCGTTAAAATATTTTTGAGTTTAAATGTATGTACATTGCCACGAATTCTTCAACTTTTCATTTGTCGTCGTTAGAGTTAACAACACAGCCTACCTACCATCATTCGAAACGCCCAACATTAACAACTGAAACAACACGTTACATCAACAATGAATGCCTTTCATAAAACATTATCCAAAGCAACAGCGTCAACAGACATTAACATTTTACAATTAAACTAACATGGCATCCATACTGCAAAGCATATACTAAACAACACAACATCTTTAACGCTAATAACGGTAATAATATCAACAACGCAACTTATGGTAACAAAATTTTAAATTAACGTTGGAAAAATTAGCAAAAACCTTTTCCCCCTAGTTCACAAGGTGAGGGAAGAATGTATATGAAGCTCGGGGATTTTGAAAAGCTAATTAAAGACGAATGTATGATGATTGTGGCTCGTTCGTTCTCAATAACCATAACAAAAATAGCAACAACAACAATAATAATAAAAAAATCATCAAGGTTAACAATGTTGTTGATGTTATGAGCCACCCATCCTATTACATTAAAAACATCAGTAACGAACTTTTATATTGAATATTTTTAAGTCCACAATTTGTTTTGGGCGTTTGTAGTGGAAAATATAATTGTAATAATACAACGACCACCACTAACGTTACTACTACTGCTACTACTACTGCTGCTGCAACTACTACTACTTCTGCTGCTTCTATTACAACAACTACTATTACACACATTATTACTATTGTAGTAGTAGTATTAACGAATTAGCTGTTACAGTATCAGCATAACCACAATCTATAAAGATGTCTAAAAACGAGCAATTGATTGAGAAATATTTGATATACTACTCGCAATTTAAAAATTGTTGGGAGAAAGCGTCGCCATTGTCTATTTGTGTTTTTTGTACCTTGTATCTATTCAATTACTTTAATCCTACAATTTTTGAATTATTTTTTAATCATTTTATATTAATTTCTCTATATTTATCTTAAAAATACATTTTTATATCTCACAGCGTTTTTTTATGACAGATATTTTTGGATAAAAATCTGCAAGTGCTAAATTTTTTTTTTTTTTTTTACAAAAACGCAATTTTAACAAATTAATCTAAAATATTAGACAAGGATAATGATAATAATTCATTAAAAAAAGTAAAAAAAATACAAAAAGATGTGCATCTCAGAACCATAAGATGGAACCAGTAAAGAACCAACCCAGCAAAATAGATTAGGATTACTTGAAAATTTTCAATTTTAAGTAGCGGTGTAGGTAGAGCCATACGTTTGCACGACTCATATTGGGCTTATTTGTGCACGATAAACAGCTTGAAATGGCTCTGTAATGTCGTTGCCGTTGCGAATGTTTTATTCATGTGTCGTTGTTGTTGATGTTGCTGATGATTTTGTTGTTGTTGATGTGTTTGATATTGTTGACGATGAATTGTTGTTATTGTTGTTGTATCGATGTTGTTGTTTTTGTTCTTGCGGAGCGTTCAGTATTTTGGTTACTGCTGTGTATGTAATTGACGTATTTTCATCGTCATCATCATCGTGATCGTCGTCGTCATCATCATCACCACCACCACCATCATCATCGTTATCATTCTCCTCATCATCATTATCAGCATCTTCATCAGCAGCAGCATCATCCTCACATTCATCATTAACGTTACCAGCTTTTTCACGAACATCTGATTGTCGACTACATCATCATTGTTATGAAATTTTTTCCCACTTACGACTTTTTCTAATTATTCTCCTTTTGTCTCCAACTGCTGGCATAAGTGTCAACAAGCAAACGCATGAATGATAACAAAAATCGGAAACGAGTGGCAAGAAAAAACAAAAATGCTTCAACAACTGCAGATAGAAGCAGCGACAGCAGCAGCAGTAGCAGTAGTAGTAACCACAACCACAACGTC